GGGGGGGGGGGTGCCGTGATTGTTGTTTCCATGGCGCTGGCATTATCTGCGCTCGGGGTTCCGGTGGCTGTGTCCCCAGGTCCCAGCAGGAGTGGACAGCAGGACAGCCTGCTCTCCTTGGCCTTGCTCCTGGAGGCAGCAGGGATGTGACCCCCTCGAGGCCCCGAGGACAGCGCTGGGGTGGTCAGTCACCTGCTCCTTCCTGTTAGCTTCCCCAAGGTGCTGGTTATCTCCCGGAACTCCTCAAACCTGGGGTCTGGGTCCCAAAGCCAAGTCAGCCCTGGGGACAGGGCTTCAGGTGATGCCCGTGCTGGGAGCAGACCCGTCAGCCAGAGCAAGTGGCCCCCGGGGCCTCTCCGCACAGACCCCCGGCCCCAGAGTCCTCCGTCCAGGTCAACGCAGACCTCAGAGATTCAGATGGTGCTCCAGTAGGCAGCGGGCGGGGTGGCTCAATGGGGGTGGAGGCCTCAGTCCCTCCTGCCTGGCCACAGAGCAGTCACCTCTTGCAGGCCTGGGGCAACGGGGGCAGAGCAGGCTTGGGTCGGGGGCCGCTGGGACACGTGGCAGGCACCGGCTGGTGTGTGACGGCACCAGCACGCATTCGTGGCCTCGTTCCCAGGGCTGCCTCTGGTCAGCCCGGGGTGCAGCCCGCTGCGGGGGCGGGGCGCGAACAGGACGGCACCCCGGGGGCCCGTGAGCGCGAGCCTGGAGGGAGCCTGCAGGCACAGGCCGGGAGGAGCAGGCTGTGGAGGCTGTGATGGGGTGCCCCAGCGGGGACAGCCAGGGCCGCACACAGCACATGGGAGCCACATGGGAACGACAGGGCCCGGAGGAAGCAGAGCATGACCGTGCCGGGCTGCCCAGCCTGCCCGGCCTTCTGGCTGCTTCCAGGGCACGTGTACGCGGAGCGGATGTGTAAGACCCAGAGGGGTGGGCGGCGAGGGAGGCTGGACCGAGCGGTGGGGGTGGGCTGCAGGCTCCACCCGACAGAGGAAAGGGGCAGATGTGGCTTGTCTGCCTGGAATTGGAGCCCTGGCCCCATCCCACTGTGGGGGGCTTGTCTGGGGCCAGAGGCCACCGGGGACCCCACCTCCCTGCCCTGGGTACCTCTCTGGTGGGTATGGACCACATACTGGTCGTCTCTCCCCCAGCACAGCATTAACTGCCACGCCTGTTCCCCCCCGCCCCCTCCGCAGCCATCATTAACCCCAAACAGCCCAAGGAGACACCCAAAAGCTTCAGCTTCGACTATTCCTACTGGTCACACACCTCGGTAAGCCCAGGGCTGGATTCCAGGGGGGTGGGCCGCAGTCGTGTGGATGCTTGTGTGTGGGCCTTAACCAGTCCCTTAACCTCTCTGAGCTCATGACCTGGGACATGAGGGTGGGACAGGGGAAGGGGCCAGCGGCACCTGCCTGGTGGGGGCGGGGGGGGGGGGGGGGGGGGGGAGAAGGGGCCTACCTCCTCAAGTCCCCGTGTGCTTGAAAGGTCACCCTGAGCAGTGACAGGCATGGTTATGGTAATGCCCCGGACGTGCCTAAATAATCCTCTGTTGGGAGAGCATCCGGCCGCCGTAACCGATCTGTGGGCTCCCAGGGCCTCCAGCCCCACCGCTTCTCATTCCCAAGGCTGCCAACCCAGCCTTGATTTTGAGCCTTATGTCCCATGTTCCTGCCTCGGAGCCTTCACACAGGCAGTTCCCTCTGCTGAGATGCCCTTCCGCCCCGCCAGCCCCTCCCAACCCCTCCCTCAGGAAGCTGCACCCCGCCAGGCAGGATTAGGTCCCCTCTCCGGGGCGTCTGCGCGCCGGGGAGTGGGGCGTGGGGCGGGCGTCCCTCCCCAGGGGGAGGCCTCGGGCTGCGAGGCAGGTGCTCGGAGAACACAGCGGGCTGAGCCTCGGGCGCACCCGGCCTCCTACAGCCTCGCTCCCTGTTGTCTTGCAGCCGGAGGACATCAAGTACGCGTCACAGAAGCAGGTGTACCGGGACATCGGCGAGGAGATGCTGCAGCACGCCTTCGAGGGCTACAACGTGTGCATCTTCGCCTACGGGCAGACCGGGGCCGGCAAGTCCTACACCATGATGGGCAAGCAGGAGAAGGACCAGCAGGGCATCATCCCGCAGGCACGCGGGCCCCGGGGCTGGGGCGGGAGGCCGGGGGAGGGCAGCACGGGCAGGGCTGCAGGAGCCCAGTGGGGAAGGGCCGGGCAGGGCGCCCCAGGGGAGCAGCCTCGGAGAGAAGGGGGCCAGGAGGGGAGGGACACTGCGAGGCGGGAGGGCAGGGCAGGAGGGGCGGCGTGGGGCGGACCTGCTCTGAAGAGACCGGAGCCCCAGGCCCTGCGATGGGGGGTGCTGAGGGGCAGAGCCCTGGCCGTGCCCCCCCGGGTCACATCCGTAAGACCGGGCAGTCGGGAGAGTCATTGTCACGCTGACCCTTCCCCCGGGAGCTGTGGAGGCTGGCGGCGGACAGGGAGAGACGCCCGGACAAGGGGTGGCCTTTGGTTAACTGCAGGCTGAGACATAGATGACTCAGGGGCCCTGAGCTGCTGGGACCCCGGGCAGGCTTCTGGATCTGAGCTGGTCAGCGCTTGACCTGGTCAGGGCAGGAGAGAACACCGGGTAGCCTGTAGCACGGGGGACCCCAGCCCACCCGGTGGAGACAAGGACGGCACGAAGAGCGTAGGAAGGGATCACAGATGGTCCGTGGGGACTCCATGACTTAAGCAGAAGACAGCCGCTCTTTGGCTGCAGGCCTTTTCAGTGCCTTTGAGGTGGACTGTTATGAGCAAGAGGGGCCGGGAGAGCGGCGTCTGGCCTGGGCTCAGGCTGCCCACAGCACCCCGGGGGCAGGGCTCCAGGAACAGTCCCATTGTCCCCATCACCTGACGGTGTGTCCTCGGCCCTATAGCTCTGTGAAGACCTGTTCTCCCGCATCAACGACACGACCAACGACAACATGTCCTACTCCGTGGAGGTAGGGCTCCCCGAGCGTCCGTTCTTCCAGCACAGCGGGGGGCTCGGGCGTGGACAGCGGTGCTTTTCTGCTTTAAAGCAAGTCCCCACCACTGGTCTGTGCCGTTGGCTCGTCCCTCCCTCCTGCATGTGACACCCACACCGGGCACGGGAGCGAGGGGCAGTCCTCTGCTCAGCAAGTCTCACTGAGTAGTTGCTCCGGACCAGGGGCAGGGACGGATGTCTCAGAGCCGCGGGACCTGGCTCTGCCATGGCCGCGGTGTGTCCACGTCGGACAAGCCCCAGGATGAGCGCAGGTGGGGGGGGACCAGCAGGAGGTGGGCCGACTTCCCTGCGCACTCACTGCACTCACCTGACCCCTACACTCGCACATGCCTCCCCCTGCCAGCAGGTGGCCCCCACACCCCTATCCCAAGAGTCCCTGGTAACGGCCCTGCACCCCCACCTTGGGGGGCCCCGGTGCTGGCCCACACACCCGCTGGCACCCCACCGGGGGGGGGGGGGGTCCCTGATGGTACATCTCCGCCCTGCAGGTCAGCTACATGGAGATTTACTGTGAACGCGTCCGTGACCTCCTGAATCCCAAGAACAAGGGCAATCTGCGCGTGCGCGAGCACCCGCTGATGGGGCCGTATGTGGAGGACCTCTCCAAGCTGGCCGTCACCTCCTACAATGACATCCAGGACCTCATGGACTCAGGGAACAAGGCCAGGTGCATGCCGGGGGCTCGCCCTCCCCCAGTTCTCTACCCTAAACGCCGCCCCCCCCCCCCCCCCCGACCGCCATTGTGAGTCTCCCTGGGGAAGGCCTGCTCCTGGGGCACCTGTCGGTTTCCCCGTGGGGTCTGTCCAGCACCCCCGTGGAGGGTGGACTCCGTGGGCCTGAGGCCACTGAAGGGCCAGCCTGGGAGGGGCCTCCAGACCCCCACCCTGTCACCTCCACAGGGGCTGCTCCTCCTGGGGGGGACTGGCATCATCTGTGAGGCTCCTCCCGGGGTCCTTCCCTGCGGGCAGCTGCCCCGTTGGGCCCAGTGGTCAGGAGGCTGTGAGGCCCGGTTCTGCCCGCTCTGCAGGGGTCGTAGGTGGGGGCCTGGGGGCAGGGTCAGCCATAAGGCACTGCTGGCCACGGGCACTGGTGGCACTGCCCCGGGGGGGTCTGCCTGGCTGCTCACAGAAACGGTCGCCTTCTCTGCCGCCCAGGGACGCCCCCACGGTGAACGACCTCACGTGGGTCAGAGCCCCGCAGGAGCAGGGTTCTGGTGAGGCCCGTCCCTTCTGTGGGCTGTCAGACAGCGAATCCCCACCAGGGACACGTCCTGAGGTCCCGGCAGGTCGGCAGCCCTGGGACCAGCCCTGCAGCTCCCCTCGCGTTGCCTTGGGCTCTGTCCCCCAGGGGCCTGCTGCCGGCCCTGCCCAGACGGGGACCGAAGGGACAGAAGGTGGGCGCCTCCTTTCCCTCCTGGGCGGGGCCTTTCCACATCTCGGCCCGACAGGGCCCCCTCCCTGTTTCGTGAGTGCTCCTGGGCTCTGCTGACCCCTGTCACGGCGCCCGAGTACCAGGCTGGAGCTGGTGGCCGGGAGGGCGTGGGCCCCGTTCGCACTGTGACAGGACACGCGGTCACCACCAGGCTGGGTAGGGCAGCCCCGGGAGCCCTGGGAGAGCCATGCCCCGTGACCTGGTCCAGCTGGCTAGCACCGTCAGCGACTCTCCCGCCCGACCATAGGACGACAGGTAACCACGTGTGGCTTCTGTTCCCCCAGGACCGTGGCCGCCACAAACATGAATGAGACCAGCAGCCGCTCCCACGCTGTCTTCAACATCATCTTCACCCAGAAGCGCCACGACGCGGAGACCAACATCACCACAGAGAAGGTGAGCGTGGCCTTGGCAGAGGCGGGCCATTTGGGCGGGGGCACGGGTCAGTCCCATCGGGCAGGACGAGGAGGCCAGGGAACCACCGGCCTGCGAGGCTCGGACAGCGTCCTCACCCTGGGCGCCGGGCCCTCCCCACCCCCGGCTTAGCGTGGGCCTCCGAGAAGTTGGCCGGCCTGCGGGGCCACCTCGTCTCGGTATTTGGCACCGTCTGGGCGTAGAAGGGACTGACGGTGGAGGGGCCGTGGACCCGGGGTCTGCCTCCTGCCGGGCGGGTTTGGTGGAGACCGTGGGGGCTGAGGAAGGGCGTCCCCACGGCCGCACCGCTGAGGATACCGGTGGCCCTCGGAAGCAGAGGGCCGTGGGTGGAGTGAGTGCCTGTCACGACGGTGACCGACTGGCAGGAGAGCGGGGGCCCCGGCATCCACAAGCACAAAGGAGAGGCTGTGGTCTGAGCACCACCCCGCCCACCGCCCCGGCTCCGGATGCCTTTCCCACGCGCCTTGGCGTTCTCAGGGAACCCGGGTAGGAGCACGGTCCCCTGGGACCTTTATCTGGACACGTGGTCTCCATGCCCCGGAAGGGGCCGCAGGGCAGGCTCAGAGCCTCTTCCTGCCCATCGGTGGCCCTGTCCCCTGGGGTCAGTTTTTCTCTGTGTCACCTCCCCTGACCCACTGTCCAGGCCTCCTCCCCGGGGCGCCTCGGCCGCCGCCTGGTGGGCAGTGCTGTCTCCGGCAGCAGGCAGCCCCCCAGGGTCCGCATGTCCCGGGGAAGTTTGCCACACTTCGTCGCCGATCGCGCCAGGGTCCTCTCAGCCTGGTGCCATCCTCCCAGAGATGGCCCGGCAGGGTCTGGGTGGGCAGAGAGAACGGAGCCAGAGCTGGGTTCAGATCCCACCGCGGGTGATGAGCCCATCTGTGGAAAAGGGGGGCAGGACACATCTGGGGAGCTCTGTGGGGGTTCCGTGCGAGCACGTGGAGAGCCCCGCGCACCGAGGGCAGCGTCCCCGCAGCATCGCGAGTGTTAGGGGTGAGGGGCACGCAGCCTCTTGGGGAGGTGGGCTTTGAACCCCAGGCAGAGCCTCCGGTGCACTGTGAATAGAGGGAAACCGCGGGGTCTGAGACCGGCGGACCCCCGAGGCAGGGCTTGGCCATGGCCCCTCAAGTGTGCACTTCAGGCCTCGGAGGGGGCAGGGCGCCCCCTAGCGGCCTTGGACATCTCCTGCATTTGACACGTGCCGTTTCAGGTGAGCAAAATCAGCCTGGTGGACCTGGCGGGGAGTGAGCGGGCCGACTCCACGGGAGCCAAGGGCACGCGGCTCAAGGTAGGGCCGGGCCACCATGCCTGTGGACGGCAGCGGGGCCCCTCCACGCCTCGCTCATCCGGCAGGTCCCATCTTCCAAGCCTGGCCTGCTCCAGGGTGGGCCGGGCGGGAGGGCTCCCCTTGGGGAGCCCCGCCACCCGGGGCGAGCCCGGGCAGGGAGGGCAGGGGGCGAGGGTGAGGGCGTGGGAGGAGGCCAGTAGCCAGAGGGCTGCGCCCAGCACGCTGGCTTAGTGGTTAACGAGGACGGAGGCCCTGGCGGGAAGGCTGGGCCCCGTGCGGGCCGTCACAGGACCCCGGCCACCCGTGTCTGCGCTTCCCCGCCAGAACCCAGGCTGCGAGGCGGACAGTCTCTGGTCAAAGCGGTCCTTGGTGTCGGAAGGAGACTTTTCATTTTCAGCCTCCCTTTGGTGCCCGCCGTTACCTGGGGGACGGGAGGGGGCCCTGGAAATTGTACCAGCGGGGCTCGTGTGAGGTGTTCTAAGGACTCCCTGGGGGACTAGGACAAACACTGGGCGCGCTGCACCCCCTTGGCCAGGGTGGGCCTCTGAGCAGCTCCTCGCCAGAGCCTCCCGTGCTCCAAGGAGCCCCGGGATTAACGGTCAGGGCTTGGTGGCCTCAGACCAACGTCACGCGGGTCAGGCCCCATGGGATCATGCTGGAGCAAGAGGTTCATGAGGCTTCCTATCCTCTCCGCACACAGGAGGGAGCCAACATCAACAAGTCCTTGACCACGCTGGGGAAGGTCATCTCTGCTCTGGCGGAAATGGTGAGCCAGCTTTGGGTTTCTAGAACTAGGCTGATGGGATGGATTGCGGAGGTGGCTCCCTGTCCTGCCTTCTGTGGAGGATGCCGGGGGCCTGTCACACCTGCCCCGGGCCCTGTCTCTGGCAAGGAGCCCGGGGTTCAAGGGAAAGCCTGAAGGTGTGAGGGGTGTGTGTCGCTAGGCTACAGACGGGGTAGTGATCCCTGTTACTCCCTGGAACCTCAGTTTCCCTACCAGTATTGGCCACTCAAGACACCCGGGCCTTTGTTCAGAGAAGGACGAATCTTACGAGGCCCTAGCCTTCTGAGATTGTTAGGGGTGAAGGGACCCGAGAGGTCGCGCTGTCATTTGGCCCGTCGGGACCCGGGTGGCCAGCGGTGGCCAGGTGAGGAGGGATGGACCCCTGGCACGTGCTCAGGCCTCTCCTGCTCCTTTGTTCTCTGGAGCCTGCCAGAGTCTCCTCCCCACACACCTTGGGTCCCCAGGCTCGCCCCAGGTCCTCAGACTCTGTCTTTTCTTTTCCAGGACTCTGGGCCCAACAAGGTAAGCTGCTTTCTTCAGTTCTAGGGGGAGGAATCTTCCTCCAGGGCAGGGCTGGGGGCTGGAAGCAAGGAGCCCCTTTAGCTCCGGTTGTCCTGTGAAGGTCTCGGTCGTAAGAGTGCTCCTTCGTTTGTGCACCTCACAGACAGACACATCGAGCCAGCGCTGAGCTGGGCGCTGTGCCAGAACAACACAACCCTTCCGGGGCCACGGCACAATGGGGGACGGAGATGTAGAGACGTGGACACAGAAAAAAAAATTACGAACTGGTACACCTTTCATAAAGGAAAAAGATGGGCTGTGAGAGTGACGCACAAGTGAGACGGCCGTTAGTCGGGGTGGCCAAGGAAGCTTTACACGTAGTTGTAAGGCTGAGACATGAGGAGCGGGGGGGAGCCAGCCATGTAGCTGGAACGCCCAGTGTGAGGTGCTAAAGGGGAAAAATGTTGGCTTGTGTAGGAATTGTGTGTGAGGAAACGTGAGGAAGCACGAGGAACTGTGTGAGGAAATGAGAGGCAGTGTGTGACGAACTACGTGTGGGGAACTGTGTCGGGACATGTGGTAGGAACTGTGAGGAAACATGGGAGGAACTAAGCGAGGGTCTGAGAGGAACTAACTGTAGAAACGGTGTGAATATTTGTGGGGAACTATGTGGACGATTGTGTGAGGAACTGTAAGGGAAGTGTGTGTGGAAGAGTGGACCGTGTGAGGAACTGTGAGAGGAAGTACGTGAGGTGGGGGTGGGGCAAGGATGGCACTTCTGAGGGAATTGTGAGGAACTGTGTGGCAGCTGTGAGATACCGTGTGTAGGACTGTGTGAGGAGCTATGTGAGGAAGTATGAGAGACGAGTACGGCACTATGGAACCGTGTGATGGACTGTGTCAGGGACAGGAGAGAATTGAAATCGTGTGGAAACGTGTAACTGTAGCTGAGAAAATGCGTGTGAAGTTGCATGCAGAACTATGAGTAAATGTGTGGACTGTGTGAAGAGCTGTGTAGAATGGCGTGGGGAGCTAAATGGACAAATATCTATGCGAGGAAACTGAGGGACTGTGTGGAAACTGTGAGGAACCACGTGAAGATCGTGTGAAGAACTGTGAGGAACCGCATGAGGAACTGCGGGAGGAACCACGGGAGGAACCGTGTGAAGAACCGCGTGAGGAACCCCGTGAGGAAATGTGTGAGGAACTGCAGAAGGAACCGTGAGGAAC